CCCCAAAACCCCAAAACCCCAAAACCCCTTCAGGATAAATTATGATGCAAAATGGTAATGATATAAATGAAATTAATATGTAAGACTCACTTCTCAAGAATTTAGGGATTGAAGTTGAGTAATTTAGTCATCTTTTTCTTGATCACTAATGTTTGTAATTCCATGTTTTTGGCTTAGGAGTTTAGCTTTTTAGGGCTAATTGAGTTTGATTTTGTGCTTTAATCATCCATAGTCTACTGATTCTTCAAAAAGTCTTTGAATTTCTTGGTAAAGTTGGTGTACTTAGACTTGTCCAAGATTAAGAACTTATTATCTGATTAAAGTTTAGGCACATTTGGCTTGACTTAAGAGTTATTGTTTTGATGCTAAAATGACCCACTTACATTCAGATCTAAGCAAGTTTTATGAATCTAAAGTTGTTTTCCCTTTTAAAATTAGGCTGAGGAATTCAGGATCAGTCTAGTCTTGACCTGCTTCTCAAACTTAGACTCAATGATGTCTTCTGAATTTAATCTGGATTTGTTGATAAGGATAGGTCTTAGTCCTGGAGAGGGCATTGAGAAAGATTTGTACAAATCTTAAGTTTCATTGCCTGGTGCCGTCTCATCGAGATTTTAGATCTTTAAAGTGAAGGCTGACTCCTTGTGAGAAATCTATTAGAGGATAATATAAAGAATCTTTACAAGATTATTAGATTTATTTAGATCTGAGTCTTTGATAAATTCATTAAAATTACATTGAGTGGCTTAGTCATGTTGTTGAAACTGGTGAAATATTAGATTTAACTGCTGATCTACTAATGCCTCTCTAATTGGATTTTATGATTCAATTGAGTCAGAAGAATATGAAGAGAGTCTAGATTTAGATTTTTTTGAGAACTTAGAAATTCTGCAAGGGCTTTCAAACCTATAGTAATATATTTGATTTATTAGTTTTAGAAGATACTTTTCTATTGTAGGTGTATTTTTCTTAGAGGAAGCACCTCTGCTTCTTGAAAATCTTATGCGAGAAAATGTACTTAGTTTATTTGAACATCTATCAATAATTAAGTCGATTCCAGTATCTATAGTCATTTCCTCACACTATTTTAAGTTCCCGACACTTTTCTAAAGAGTCATCGATTCATTATCAACTTGACTGTATTATATTTTGTCTTATTACTTCATTATATCATCAGTGAAGTTTATTAATTCTTTAATTTTATGGCTATGCATTTCCAATATTTACATTAGATTGTCAATATCATTTGAAAGGATTGAATTTCCCTCCTCGAAAAATGAAAATTGCCTTTACATTCAAATCCTAATAGATCGTATTTTAATATTTATTTTACTTGCTAAATCATCAGATTTATACCTCAGGGGTTTTGGGGTTTTGGGGTTTTGGGG